GTTAATGTCGCCACCTAGTATGATGTACTTGGATGTACCATGTAGTTCATTGAGAGTGTTTACCACAATGTCGATAAATTTGTTAAAGTCACCGTTTGGCGAGCGATACATAGTTATTACTATCACATCTACGATTGGTATAAATACAGCACATAATTCACAAATTTTTTCAACAGAGAACGAACTTATATTTTCTAAAGAGTTGCAAAGTATATTTGGATTAAGAAGGGACATGACACCTCCATGTTGATGATGAAGCCTAGAGAAGTGCGTTTTCACAATGTAATTATCCAAGTTTATGATACTAGATTCCTCAGCTTTAAGCCAATGTTCTGCAATGCACAGACAGTCGTAGTTTTTATCATTTAAATAACTTTCAATTGATGGTATTTTATTACGGAGGCTCTGTGAATTCCAAAACAGAATTGAGAAGCAATATTCACAACCTTCTTTGCACTTGGAAGAATCTGTGGCTACTGCGTTTTGGTGGTACCTGACTGATGAATTCATATCAACATTGACATGCAAGGATGACGTTAATTTTCTTCGAGTATTGTGTTCGTGGCTGTTCTCTTGTATAAAAAATGTTGTACTGAATTGTCCTTTTTTGGGAAATAGAACCTATTTATGACTACTCCTTTTGGCCATAAGGTATCTTGCAATATTTTGTCTTTTTCAAAAGATGGAATTTTTAACTTGAAGGATGCAGTTCTTTCACTTCTTTTTAAGTTTAGTTTCTCAATTTCGACGTTAACAATTTCATGGAGGTGTTCTTTAATATCGTCAACTGTTGTCTCTGGGTGAAGGCCAGTTACGAAGTAATTGAATTTTTTTTCTATAGCTCTCAAGGAACCGGAGGTTGTTCCTTGGCCTGCTCCTGCAAGAAGGTTGCGAGTTCTTTTCTTCTTTTTGTGTTGCACTTCAGTAAAACTTACGGTCCCTTCATCAGCTACTTTAGTTGTAGGTACGTTTTCTTGTTTGGTATTCCTGGTTTCATCCTTAGGAGGAAGATGAATGTCTGCAGTAACTAATGATGTGAAAATTTCATGATCATGTTCATCCGACGAAGTTTCATCTACATTGTGTAACGTGCTTATCTTAGTAGTGGTAGTATCAGTAGTATTATGTGATTTAGACAAACGCCTGTGGTCACTTCCTCGATGTATGTTTATATTATGATAATCAGCTGGTTGATATAGTAAAAAGTTGTCATTGAGTGCTACAGTAGAATTTTTATCTGTGGTTTTTCCATTACTTTGTTGTACAAAATATGACGATCTGCGATTATCAACCGTATGATTAGTTTCATTAGGGGTTTTAGCAGTATTCGCTTTTAATTTAAAATTCTCTAATTTTAGGGCACTTACATCTTTTTGTAGCTGATAAATTATCGTATTTTGAGTTGTAATTAAGGTCTTACAACTATTAATTTCCTCAAGTAAAGCAGAGAAAGCCACTTCACATCCACAATTAACAATTGTTTGGCTAAAAAAATCCGCTAAACACTGATTCACAGCACTTTGAATATCTGTCATAACAGTAAGTGGGGCCTTCTTCACCTTTGGGCCCATGGTCAACTTTCGTAGATTTTCGTGAAAATAATTAATTAATATGGCTACGACGATTTAATGTGACTAGCACCAGACACCGTCGCAGACTGAACTAGATCTAGCACAGAAGGGCATTGGTTTTTTCTATATCTGGTTGGCTCCGATACAATTTGATGCAAATGGGAGTCGCTAATCAAATCTACCAGCAACTGCGAAGATTTGATTGAAGAAGATTTCCCCGGTTCAAAAATTATCTGAAAATAACTGTTGTATAGCTCTTTAAATTTATCTTCATTTGTTTCCTTCAAAATTTTTCCCATCTCGGTCTGCATATTTTTCTTCAATTCTGTAATTTTGCTTTGCCTTGAATGTTCCAATTTTTTATAATATGCCAACTACACAATAAATGTCTTGGTTTTGTTTCCATAACGTTTATCCATGCATTATAATATTTTGGGTCATCATCTGTCATAAAATAGGTGGGACATAATTTTTCACCAAATTTTTTCTTTAAAGCATCTAAAAAAATTTCAAAAATTAACTAATCTTTTCTACTAGACACTAAAAATGCAACGGGAAAACCAACACCCCTATCATCTTTAACTAAAACTGTTGTTAACTCCCATCCTCTAATATTTGTGTTGTGCGTCCCATCTATACAAATAATATTTGTGAATTGTTTCAATTTAGATTCCATCACCTGGTTCATAAAGCCCACTGCAAAATCTTCATCTCTAAGAATGGAATGCCTTTCCCCTACAAGCCAAGCTAAGCATGTGCTAAACAACCAACACCACCAACTACAATCTACATGCATGAATATTTCTCTTAATTCACAGATTTTAAACAAAAATTTTACCTAATTGTAAAAAACCACATGCTAATAAAATAATAATCATATACATTACCAATTTGTTTAAATAAAAATCCATAATTTTGGCCACTTTGATCCCATTCATGCAAAACCTTTATTGTTGTTGCAGCCATATCATCACCATTTGTAGTTTTTGATAAACTTCGACTCATGTTTCTCAAATCCATTTTTGTTAATAAGTGTAGTCTTTCCAATTTATTCCCTTTAATGGTCCGAGCATCTTCTAATATTCTCTTTTTACATACTTCATTCTTCAATTTTGAATAAATTTCTTGTTTTTCATTTTTTGTCAACCCTTGATATCTCAGCTCACCTTCATGTCCTACATGTGTTTTTATATATTAAATTTTCACTGTTCCTATAAACAATTTATGCAATTAATATACAGTAAAGTGTGCACATAGATATAGTATTTCCAGTGATAGATTCAACTATTTTAAATATCCATAGATCACAAAAGTCCCCAGAATTAAGCGCGCGAATTGTAGTTTGGTGAATTGCAGCCTTGAATTTTTTGACAAATGTCATTGAGGTTAGACGCGCATGCGTTGGTTTCAATCGTTTAAATTAAAAATTACATTTTTCGGGTTTTTAGAATTTATGTTGTGCTTTAGATTTTTGCATTGGGTTACATTAATCGTATAGTGATGTGTTTATTATAATATTTGTAAGTTAAGTTAAAATTGTGTTATCTGTTAACTAGTGTTGTGGGTAAATACAAACCTACCTAGACAAAAATATAAACTCCATAAACAATAACGATCTAATAATGAGTAATATTGCCCAGGTAAGTGTATGATGGCTTATTTAAAAGGCTTCATGTGTATATTTTTTAGGAAAACCAAATGAAGCGAAATTACTTAACAGTAATAGACAATACTGTGGCGCAAAAGATGATTGCAAATGCTTACGCTTTCTTCAAAAATAAAAATTTATGCTTGGGATCGCCAACTGAGGTCAACAAATTGTGCAGTTGTATGCATGGTTTCTTATGGGTATTTGAATGTTTATAGATCACAGCTAAATGTCTCGGAATTAGTAGGAACCAAGTAATAAAGTATAAAAATTTTACTGATGCAACTGCAAGAAAAATAAAACGAAAACGTCCAAAAAAAAGCAACATCTGACCTGGATCCAAACATCAAACGAGAAGTTCGTCTTGTATTGTACGATATGGTGCAAAACAGTAAGACTTACATCAAATTTAACTTTTCTGACGCAATTTTCTTCCAACTAGAATTTGAACTTAACTATTCTATAGATTTCCAGAGATTCAATTCAAATAGATACAATAAATTTTAATTACATTAAATTTGTTCTAGGAATTCATGTAAATTTGGATACCTTGGGAGCAGAATTATCAGCTAAATTTATCTACACATATAAAAGATCTAGTTTAGCACTTCTGTTAAAGAATTTGGGATTTTCATACAAAAAAGATGATAACAGACGTGCTTTAATGGAAAAACCACATGTTGTAGCGCTGAGGAAAGTATTTCTATCAAAATATATGGAGAATGTTAATTCTGCAGAGAAAAAACCTTTCATATATTTGGATGAAACTTGGGTATTTTCAAATGGAACCGTTAGGCGATCATGGCAGGATGAGGATCTACGTTCTGTCAAAAGAACTTCTGGAGACGGCGGTAGAGTATCTACTACACTGAGTTTAATTTAGGCTAATACAGGATCAATGCATTTATGTCTAATACTGAAGTTACCTCAAAACAATTTTAGGTAGATACATTATAGTCAATGCTGGTAACGAAGAAGGATTTGTAGAAAATGCTTCTCTTATATTTAAAAGTAAAAACAACACTCTGGATTGTCATCACGAAATGAACGCTGAAAATTTTGAAAAGTGGCTGCAAAACGATTTGTTACCAAAACTGGAAGAACCTAGTATAATAGTCTTAGACAACGCCAGTTACCATAGTCGACTTGAAGAAAAGCGACCTACAACGGCGTGGAAAAAAGTTGATCTTCAATTGTGGCTGCAAAAGAACTGTATCGCATTTTCAGAGTTGCATAAAAAAGATACACTGTTAAAGCTATGTAAAGCTCATTATAAAAAGCCAGTGTATGTAGTAGACAATATTATTACCGCAGCTGGTCATGATGTTTTACGTTTGCCTCCATACCATTGTATATTTAATCCCATAGAGATGGTATGGAGTCAAACAAAACGTTTCTACGACAAAGACGTTTTAAAATCTAAAAACCCACTTGATGCCTGGAACCGAGCCCTACAAAATGTAACACCGGAACAATGGAAAAGCTATGTTAAACATACAGAAAATATCATTAAAACCTATTGGGACAAAGAAAAGTTTGTAAAAGTAAATAATATTATAATAAATTTAAACGTAGAAACAGATGAGAGTGATAGCGATTTTAATTTTGCTGAAAATGATATATGAAGAAATAAAGTTCTATTAGCCAAATACACTGACGTCATCCAAGGTCATCAAGATGGCAGCGTTTGGCAACTAGCCTGTTTTCTCATAAGAGTCAATGCTAATATTTTCGGAATTTATTTAAATTTGAGAGCGTGTCATCTGTGTTTTTATAGTTTGGTAAGTTTGTTACAGTTTCTAGACTGTGTAGATATCTGTAAAACGCACCATAACGTTTGAATATGCTTAAAAAATAATGTTTTCCAATGTGATGTACAGGTTAACTTCGCTGCATCTTATATTATTTGTTTTGCAAATTAATTCTTTGTTAATGTACATCAATGTTTTTTAAATACACTAGCATCTTAATGTTATAATATTTTGTATTTTAGGAGAAAATGCCTAAATTTTGTGCTGTTGTAGGTTGCGCGAATCGAAGCACCAGAAATGCGGACAAATTTTATTTTCCTTTCCCAGCAATTACCAACAATAAAGGTAAATATATACAGGATGGGGAAAAAAGGCGGAAGCTTTGATTAAAAGCCTTGAAACGAGTGGATTTAACGAAGCCAAAGTAAAGTATTCCTATGTTTGTTCAGATCATTTTATTTTGGTACAGTAACTACCTATTAGATTTACAGTTTTTAATAAATTACTACATTGGTGCTCTTTTAGGTAAACCTGCAGATTTGTCGGATGTGGACCATCCTGATTATGTTCCATCACAAAATTTAGGATATCAAAATAAATCCACTCGTAATACTTGTAATGTTGAAAGACAAAAATAGAGAAAACTGAATAAATGCCTCTAGACTTTTGAATGCACATATTTCCTTGTGGGTTATTTTACTTATTCCAAAAATAAAAAAGTTTAGAATGGTATTCATTGTTATGGTAGGGACATCGTCTAAACACAAATTAAAATCACTTGCACTCATTATAGATATAAGGATCTACGCCGTTTAAATTGTTTAATTTTTGTACATATCTGCTTTTCTCTTTGACGGAAAGACATCGTGCATAATCACTTAAATTTTCCATACTTTAATTAGTAATTTACGCAACTAGTTCGGGATAGCCTGCTTCCCGCATGAACGCTTGTTTGAGGCACGACCGAAGGGAGTGACGCATTTGCGTGAATGCGGGAAGCAGGCTCACGAACGTGTTGTGTACAATATTTTTTGCGACGAATAAACCTTTAAACTGAAGAGATTAACTGTGAGTTATTTATAAACAACGCCATTGACAGCGCCGTCAACACGTCACAATGTTGACACTACCCGAGTATTTTAAGGTTACCATGGCAACGGGAAGTTAAATGCACGTGTGCGGGAAGTTCGACCTCCCGCACTCTGGTGAATGCGCGAAAGCTATCAAAAAAGGTCATGAGTGCAAAAATATTAATTTCCGATTTACCGCTTAAAACACACGAATGTATTTTGGGTGACGAGGAATTCAGACCAAAACAGCGTTCTGTATTTTTATTTTTATTATGTATTTTTAAACTCAAATCGCCAAAAAAGCACCCTGATACACAGAAAAGATATGAAAGAAGCTATTCAGGTGTTTATTTTCTAGATAAATACCCACACTTTTAAATAAAATACGAAAATGTTAACATTGTCACTTATGGAGTTTCACGGCGCTTGTCAAACGCTGAGTTCCCGCCACAGCGTGACGTCAAGTGTTATTGGCTAATTAACAAAGTTCTTGTATAGCAATTTAAATTAAAAATTAAGACCTTAATAATAAGATATCTCGAATTATAAGAGATTAAACATACTTTATTTAGAATGCTGTAAAGTTTCTTCAAAATTCATTGCTTTATTAAAATTTAGTAGTGCGCAAAATTTTAAAAGAAAAAATTAAATTTTTAAATTTTCGCGCTCTACTTAATTTCTAGTAACTTTTCTGTCAGTCAATCTATCAGCATACAGACTATAACATACCTTCATCAAAAATTTTTGCAGTGATTCTTGATGGACAAGTACCACAGATTTTCTTGCTACCCCCTGCCTTTGGAGATCTCTTAAATGCTTTACTTTCATAGCCTAAAATATCCAATAATACAATATATTTTTAACAAATTACAATAATGTACCATTGTAGCTTCTGTTGCAGTTATAATATATCAGCTGATAGGGGTAATGCACATCTTTCTTTTGCTTTCGACTAATATATCTAACATCTCTTCGTTCTTCACAAATCCAATTTTTAAAATCTTCATGACTTAGTATCAATTCTTCTACCTCTAATGTTATATTATGCTTTATTTCAAGATGAGTTTTGAGTTCTTCATGGGATTTCAAATTTCTCTCTGGTTCATCCCCACACATTGGACAAAAAATCTTTGTTTTGCAAATCCTACCAACACTTTGATCACGGTGAAAACGCCTAAAATGTCTATTCCTGGAAGTAACAAAATTAAATTGTTTGTCACAGACAGAACACTTTATGGATTGCATTCTGGAAGAATATAGAAAAAGCGCATTCAGACTATAGTGACAGCAATTAGTGATCTTTTGCCTTTCCCGCCTTTTTGTAATGACACTAGGGTTAGGGATTTCTTCAGGCCAACTGTTTTTCGAGGTTGGCAGTCCTGAATGTTCTTATGCACAAATACCGTATGCTTCACAGTCAGAGAACATAAAGAAGCCATAGATTAATATAGATGCGACATGCAGGCTGATTTTGCAAAATCGCCCTTATTGACATTGGAGTCCTCAACCACCAAAAACAAGCGCAAAAATGAAACAGTCCATGCCAATAAAAACCTTATTTCACTATAATTGTAATTCCGGTGACTTGAATGAAAATGAAGGAAACAGTAATAAGCAGCTGGTAATATTCTGGTAAATCTAGTGTCAATTTGTCGAAAGTAAAACGCATCGTTAAAAATATTATGACATGTCTTCTATTGTAGTTAATTTTATTCCTAGTTAGGATCAAACACTGCTCCCAACATAAATTGTTCTCTGGAGAAGCGTCGTAGTTTAAATCAAATGACGGTTGAGGACTCATCGATTTATGTTGGTAACAGTGTTTGTTTCTAACTAGGAATAAAATTAACTTGAAGAAATATCAGAATATTTCTAACGACGGATTTTACTTTCGACAAATTGACAATAGTTGTACCAGAATATCACAAGCTGCTTACTGTTTCCTCCACTTTAATTCAGGTCACACGATTTACAATTATAGTGAAACAAGGTTTTTATTGAGGACTCCAATGTCAATAAGGGTGATTTTTCAAAATCAGCCTGTATGTCGCATCTACATATATTAATCTATGGTATAATGGTATCACAGTGTGGTATCAGAGAACATAGAGAAGCGCCATAGTTTAAATTAAATGACGGTTGAGGACTCCGCAATTTATGTTGGCAGCAGTGTTTGGTTCTAACTAGGAATAAAATTAACTAGAAGAAATGTCACAATATTTTTAACGACGCGTTTTACTTTCGACAAATTGGCACTAGATTTACCAGAATATTACAAGCTGCTTCATTTTCATTCAAGTCACACGAATTACAATTATAGTGAACCAAGGTTTTTATTGGCATCGACTATTTAAATTTAGCGTTTGCCTTTGGCGGTTCAGGACTCCAATGTCAATAAGGGTGGTTTTGCAAAATCAGCCTCTATGTCGCTTCTCTATGTTCTCTGGTGGTATAGTGCACATGTGCAAACGGAGACAAGTCGAAGGATTCGAAGATTCCATGAGGTGACGCCGTCGGCCATTAACATATTTTAACTTGTATTGTTTAATATCGTAGAGTTGAAGGTGAGTAAAACATTGAGTATTTGATGATATTGCATGTTCCGTATTATCTTTACTGATCTGTTAATATTGCTAATAAGCGAACTGTAAAAGTTGCATGGTTAAAAAAAAACGGTTTTTCATGAATCATGATAAAACAATATAGTAAGTGGCGTTGGCATGGCACTAACGAAGAAAAACAAATCCGTGAAATCTACGTTGAATGGTTTCATTAGCGTTTGTTTGTATTACATACACCATTGTCTTTTCAAATTTACGATCCGGTCTTCCCCATCGTAGCAGTGTTTAAATTTCCTGGCCAGTGTAGTCCGGTTAAAATAGACATTTCAAATAACAAAAACTCCGACAGGGCTGAATTTTTGTAGAAACCTTGGATAGACTAGTAGAAATAAAGTGGCAAAAGTCTCCATAGGTCCCATGTGTGCTAAAAGTTATTCAAGGTCAAAGGTCAAAATTTTTGTTTTTTTAGATTTTTCTCGAAAACGGTAAGTTTTATCGAAAATATAGCCCAGACAAAAACTGTAAAATTATCTACAAATGTGATCCGCATACTTATTCCCTAAGAATCACCATCAGGCGCGGATACAGGATTTCTTTCAGGGGGGTCAATTTTTGTGTGATTTTACCTATCTACCAGAAATTCATTCTAAACAAAAAAATTTATAAAATTTTAGCTAGTACACTCTTTTTCACATAACATGGGTGACATTTGGTTCTTTTCATTACACGTATAGTGTACAGTAGAACCTCGATAATCCTAATTCCTAATTGGGAAAAAGGTGTGTTCGGATTAACAATTTTCCCAAAAATCTGAAAGGGAATTGAATAACAACTTCATACACAACTGAAAACAAACTTCAAGAAATAAACCTAAATTTTATTAAACAAAAATTAAAGAATTCTTAAGCAACAATGGATAATAGATACATTCTAAAAAAATATTACTCCGTGACCATAAACACGCTATCTTTTTGGAATAAACACCCCGGGATCTATACCCTGAAATTTTTCATAAATTTTAGATGAATTTTTCAAAAATGAAATTTTCCATTATGTATTCGTATTACCTCCATTATGCAAATTTCGGCCCATTCTCGACGATTTTCGAAATTTAACTAAATATATTTTCTTGTAGATTTTGGACCTCAGAAGTCACTTCTGGCTTCATTTCTTCGATAACTTAAACCATTTTTCCAGAATCGTTCAGTTGAAATATCGCAATTTTTAAAAATTTCGAAAAATTCGAATTTCACAGCGAATTTTCCGAAAAGATTGCTCCGTTACCATAAACATGGTATATTTTTGGAATCAGCACGTCGGGATATATATCCCTGAATTTTTTCAGAATTTTTAGGAAAATTTTTCAAAAATGAAATTTTTCTCATGCAAATTTCGACCCATTTTCGACAATTTTCGAAATTTAACCAAATACTTTCTCTTGTAGATTTCGGCTCTCCGATAACTTCATCCGTTTCTCCAGAATTAGTTAATTAATTGAAATATCGCAATTTTTAAAAATTCAAAATATTCCATACAACATATGCAGAAAGATCTTGCGTCATTTTTGGAAGTAGATGCATATTTTCAAGTTCAGTTCGGATTGCAGAGTTTTTGTTCGGATTAAAGAGGCATCGACTTTAAATAGCCTCTGTTCGGATTACTGGATGTTGAGACAATCGTGAGTTCGGATTATAGAGGTTGTACTGTATTTACAAAATGAAATGCGATTTCAAAATTTTGAAATTGGTCAAAATAAAGTACCTCGGTCGTGTGTCAGGGGGGGGGCAATTGCACCCTTTCCCCCCCCCCCCCCGCCCCCCCCCGATCCGCGCCTGATCACCATTCCCAAGATATCGCCATCCTAAAAGTTGAAGGAGTTACATTCTACATGGTATGCACACAAATGCTACGTATATACATAGTCAAGAGTCTTAATGTAAGTAAAAATGCCATTCGTGTCTCTTACATATATAAAATAACTACGAACAATATAATGAATAACTATTAACAATTCTGAGAATATACACTCAAAAGAAACTC